CCTAGGGAAGCCGCCCTTGAAGAAAAAGAAGTCTAGCAGCAACTCGAGCAGCAGCGGCAAGTCCAGTAAACAGGGCTCGAAACAGGTGAGACATTCGGCATTCTTCAAGTCTGTGTGTGTGGTTGTGTCGGGTGAATGGCACTTTTATTGATTCAGCATTTTTCTTTAATTTTCTTTGTTGATTTTTTTTCTCTCTTTCTCACTCTCCTCTTATTATTTTCTTCCTTTTCCCAACTGATCACTTTGAGGAAGGAAACAAAACCGCAAAACAACTTGAAGAGACCCAAACATCATTGGAAAATATATTTCTCGCAGCCGAGCTTCTCAAATGCCACCAAACTCATCCCTCTCTCTGTCACTCCACCACCAAGATTGCGGCAGGGTCAACCATCACCGGCTCTGGCAGCACAAGTGGCAGCAGCAGCACTAGTGGCCAGGCTACTACCAGCACGAGCAACATCGTCACCAGCAACAGCAGCAACAATAGCATCAGCAATGTAACAAATAGTGGGGCTATGGTACGCAAGCTTGCAGGAAGCAACGTACCCTCTGGGTCTTCACCTGCACAGGTGGGTGTAAGTTCTTTGATGAAAGTAACACAGATCAAAATGTTAAAATCATTTGTTTGGGAAGTTGTTGTTGTGTTTGTGGTTTCTGATTTTGTTGTTAGTGGTTTTCTGACTTCATATTATAGGAAGCCTGTGCTGCAGGTAAATAGCAGCTTTCATGATGTTTTAGTGTTGTCTGTTGACTGGGCTGTGTGTTCCAATGAGATGTGTATTATAGTGAGGAATTCTTGCAGTTTTGGCAAATGTCTATGTATTGTCCAGCTTGTATTTGTGTGTGCTAAGTGAAGAGGTGATGTCTGCAATGGAGTCTTTTCTCAGCAATTGCAATTCTGCTCTGTGTATGAGGGCAGTTGTAAAGGGTATCTTTGCTTTTTGTGTTAATTTTGTTTCTTTCCATTATTTATTTCTTTATTTACAAATTGTCCCTGAATGACTGATGAGCTGTAAATTATTAAATATGCATGGAATTTGTATTTTCAGCAATGTAGGAAAAACATGGTATTAAAAATAAATATTAATATTTAAGGTTCCATGTAATAATAACAGTTGCAAGAGCGACAGGCATAAGAATAGTAAGAAAGTTATTGATGATAATGAAAGGTAGATAATAATAGTACTGATAAGAACAATAGTGATATTGATCATCATGAGAAAATTATGATAAGGACATTTAACCTAGGTTCAAGGGATGATAATCATAAAGATGATTATGATCATAACTTTAGTAATGATAGTAGTGATATTGAGAAAAAGATAGTCACAATGACAATGTAAATGATATCTGTCATTTTCAAAGGACGAGTCTCTTTCATTTTTGTGTTTTATGGTCATAAAAATTCTAGGCAGTAATCATGAACATGATATATGAAAAAAAAAAATATTAAGCCATTGCCTCGGTGACAATATGGGGTCCAAATGGCCTCCACTCCAGGTCGTATGAGTGGCTGACTTGCTCAAGGCCCATTTTCAGGCATGGCTGGTGTGTAGCTCTAGCTTTGCTACACCAACAAAGTGATGTGATTTTTTTTATATCACCTGTATGCAAAACCTGATTTTAGTTTTTTGGCATACTCAGAGATGGATGATGTGCATTTTAATAGCCACATTAAACCTGTAGTAGCCTGAGGATGTTCATTAGATTTTGATATATAAGGTATGTTACACTCTGTGTACAAAGTTGAATATGGTTTTATCAAAGGATAAAAGATTTTTTGCAAATCATATTTCTATGAAATATAAGATTGTGTGCTGTGATATACGAGGTGTCTGCCACCACGGCTTAAGCACTTCCCTTTTGTGAGTCCTACTTCAAGACAGTCATGATGGCAGAGTGCCAAAGACAGTGTGAATAGTTGGCACAAAGAGACTGATCTTGTAAACAAGAGTGTAGGTGACTTACAGGTTCACATCAGCAACAAGAGAGCATCATGTTTTGGTGCATGGCATCTTCCTGGAATAGCAGGCGAATGATTTATGTGCTAAAATGTGCCCTTTATACAAAACGATAGCCAATCATAGCATTACACTGCCTTCAGGCAATGCCCCAGGGCATGCATGGGTTCCTTATGAAGAGCAGTATAAAATGTAATGCACACATCATCGTAATACGATGTGATTAACCCAATCACTCCTGAGGCAGCCTTGACATGAATAACACGTCATTCAAAGCCACAATTTAGTTGGCCATGACGAAAATCCTATGTCATCCTTCGTTTACTGTTATATCTAAACCCACACTGCTCATGTATGTATATGCATATATGTATGTATGTGTGTATATATATATATATATATATATATATATATATATATATATATTATATACATATTATATATATAATATATATATATATAATATATACAT